CACAGCTTGGTGTCATCAAGAGTAAAGAGTAGTAAGTGCAGCCATTGCAAATCAGTGACGTATTTTGTGCAAGGAGTCACCAGTCAAATTTCCATTTAGGTTCAAAGAAAGGGATGGCCTGTACCATGGGGGAGTTTAAAATGGAGATAAGTAATAACATAGGTTCTCTGATGCATTGAGTTGTGTCTACTGGTAAATGACTGAATTGGGGTCTGGCATCCAGGATTCTTCCTAAACTGGCCGAGAGCCACTTCATTTTCCCTGCACAAGGTAGTGGTACTGCAATTCTCCCCCTGGGTCTGGATGCAAACTTGACCCCAGCCTGCTTGCTGCAGCCAGAAGGGAAGGTACCATGGTCTTCTGATAGTGTGGGCTCTGCCCTCCATCCTGGGAGTGACATTCAACCCTCAGAGCCTTGCTGGCCACTGCTATTGCCTGTACTCTGAAGGTGTTGAGAAATGAGATTTTTATGATGCCCAATAGGCTCATTCAGAAAAATCATGGAGACTTTTGAAAAAAGGTCAGTAGAATAATCCTGCTCTGGCTTTAAAAAGATTCTTGGACATTTTAAACTTTTTGTTTGTTTGTTTGTTTTGTTGTTGTTTGTGGGTTTTTGTTGTTGTTTGTGGGTTTTGTTGTTGTTGTTTTGTTACTCCATCAAGTGTTCAGTGTTATTAATATTTTGAGTTCCTGCCAAATGTGTGGTGTTATTTGAAGCTCGAGGCTAGACATCAGGTAGTGCTGAAACAGGTACAAGTCAGATATTTTTGTACTTAATGGTGCAGACTGGAACTATGACTAGGACCTTAACTCAAAAGCTTAGAAGAGTTGTTATGCTTGGAACAGGTTAATCTCCCATAGGGAAAAAGGATCATGTTTAATTGTTTCTAAATATTCATAAGTAATCAACACAGGCTTCCAGACAGTGAACAAAGAGTTACTTTACTTATGAAAGAAACTACTGAAATAAAAATATTTACTGAATCACAAGAGAATAGATTTATGGGGTGTTTTCAAGGTTTGACACATGCCAGCAATTGGGAAAAATAGATTTTTTCAAGTTTCAGCAGTTTCTTATATCATTAACCAAATCTGTTTAAAAGCACAAGTTACATTTTCACGTTCCCTTAAAAGAAACCCTATTAATGTGTAAACTAGCTCACATAATTTCCAAGCAATTCCCTTGCCTCTCGTTTATCATCAGCAAGTCTTTAAAGTTGAAAATTTAAAAAAAAGCAACCCCCACAAACCTAAAAAACCACAACAAACAACAAACCAAACAAAAGACCCCCAGAGGTCTGTAACTTTAAAAGCAGGTATGCCTGTTCACTTAATCTGATTAGCTGATAATATTTATCACATAGGGTAGTTTTTTATCTATCTTATGTTTCCAGAGCAAGGAGATTACTTTCTAAAAATATTTCCAAAGATCTGTAATAACAAAGAAGATTTGCATTTTGCTAATGTCAGTGCAAATCAAGAGTCATTCTCTTGGAACTGATGAAGTGACATAGACATGAGGAAAAGAACTACACTACCATTTCTAGTGAGCACTTGAGTTTCCCTGAACATGTCTGTTCTCGCTTCCCTCATGTTATATTTCATGCATTATAGCAGCCAGTGAGAGAATTAACATTGTCTAGATTTTTGTCTCATAAACAAAACGTAATAAAAAAAACCCACAGAGGAAATGTGGAGGCTAAGATTTATGTCCTATTATGTGATGTACAGTGATTGCATGTTGCTGACCTTGGCCTTTCTATTAACTTCCACACAGAAGGTTGCTTGCAGCAGAGAAAAATAAAAATCATGTTGTCTGATGTAATTTTCCCTCATCCGCAGTTCTTTAGCTGTGGTGGGTACAGTGTGGGAGGCAGGTCCAATAAAAACACTGCTGGCAAGAAATTGTATTAAAGACGGACATTTGGATTACAAGCCCATATATATAAACATACACACACACATGCATTCCCTCTTAATGCCTCTATCATTCATGGCAATGCATCCAAACCAGCTGTGCTGCCAGCTGTGCTTTTAAAAGTAGCTGCCCTTTGATGCTCTGCCTTCCTGTCCTACTGAACAGCCCAGCTGAAGTCACAAAGGGGAAGACCTCCTTCATTCCCTAGGAAACAGTCTGCCATCAACTTCTCCAGGTCCCTCTCATTTACTACAAGATGAAGACAGAAGGATGACTGTTTTTTACCTCTGCTTGTTCAGCTTTGAGGACTTAGATTGTCTTGTACCATTTCAAATTTGAAAACATGATTTTATTTTTGCAATTTAGCCTGATGTGCTATCTCTGCTAGGAACTTCAAAGTTCTTTACTGCTTTTTTTCTGAATCTTTTGGCAACAGTACCATGCATATTTCTTTAGATCTGCTGTTCAAAAACCTGGAGATCATAGATCAAGTAGTAAAGGCTGTTTGACTTACCTTTTGATATCTACCCTGGTTTTCTTTGTGATTTTATTAATACAGCTATTGCCTTTTCAAACAGGAATGAATACTCATCAGTGAGTATTTATTACACTGTTTACAATGATTGCCAAGTTCATTTTGACTAAGGAAATGCAAACCTGAAAAGAATATATTGGGGTAATTGTTTATACTGAATATCACCTGACTTTTTCTGAATTTTCCCACTTAAGCTAGACTACTGGGAACAAGATCGAAACGGGGAGATGAAGGATAAGTTTATTGCAGTGATACAGCCCTGCATATCAGAAAAGAAAATGTAGATGAAATGCAATATGTGTTACATAATTTCCATTCACATATTAACTACAGGTAAATGAAGCCGTAAGAAAGAGAGATTCCTCTGACACTGTGTACTCATTCCTCACATGGTTTTGATTTTTGAAGTTAAAAGTCTAGAACTGAAATATTTCACCATGTGTATTATGTATATTCTGAAAGCTTTACTGTAAACTTTCTCACTTCCAAAAGAGTGCATGCAGTGCTTCATAAAGATGAATACATACTTGTGGCTCTGTTTCAAGTATCTCTCTATCTTGGGCAAATAAATCAGTTTACAACATGTCTGACTAATAATTAACACGAGTCTTCCTAGAAAACCATAGTCTGCAGCTTTCTGTTCTGATTTCTTTCTGAATACTAACTGAAAGTATTACATCTACAGTAAATGAACATTTACTGATAAAGTGAAGGACAGAAAGCCTCAAAAAAGGCTGCTAGAGGCAGAAGAATGTGGCTCAAAAGTCAGATATTACTCTTATATTGCATTGCAAGTGATGTTTGGATGGCAAAGCAGCTTGATTCTAGAAGAAATTTCCCCCGGGGACTTTACTCTGTTGAAGATGGTGGTTCTGTGAAGTGGAACAGGCTGAAAAGGAGCCTGTATCAGGGAAGGTCCTGCAGGGTACGAGGCTGTTGCACAGGAAGGGATGATGACTGCAGCTTTAACATCGTCTCCAAAGCAGCTATATGTTACTGTGACCAGTACTGTGCCTCAGGTTCTCCTGGCCCAGTAGACTGTTGTGCTGACTACTGGGATGTCTGTGACCACCCTGTTGAGCCCACCAGGTCAGATGAGCCTTGGCCACCTCTAACATCAGGTAGGTATAGAGAAAATGCCCTGTTGCTGTTAGTGCATCACAACAAAAATATACTTGGATATAAAATTACTGATTAATCTTTAGTGTTCATACATCCTAAAAAACATAGTGGACAAAGGCATTGAGTATGAAAAAAGGGTAAGAATTATACTTGCTGTTATTTCTTTCTCTTTAGGGACACACTTTTAATGTTGGTTAGATAATATTTCTGTTGGACAGAGCCTCTGTTTTACCTGAAACTTCTCAGAGAGAAAGTCACTGGGTCAAAATTAGTGTAATCTCAACAATTTCAATAGAGCTTCACAGATTAACGTGATTTGAACAGCAAGCTCTAAATTTTTTTATCCATCGGTACAAATAAATAATTAAGAAACTGAGGGTTATCCTGAATGATACTGCTCTGACGTATTCTGCTATGGTTTTGATCCAGCATAGCGTTCCTAACAAAAAAAAAAAAAAAAACCAACCAAAAAAAACCTCTACAAACAGCTGGTCCTCCCTTAGCCAGATCTCTGCTGGTGAGAGAAGTTTAACATTTGGATTATAAGACTATGTAACGTCTTACTATTGGTAGACCAAATCTGGCTAAAGATGTGGAGACTGTAACAAACTTTTAAAAGCCTAAAAATCAACAAAAATATTAGCATGACTTTTTAGTATTAACTGTTTCTTTGCAACAACCCTGCTGCGTGCATTCCAGCACTCAGACCACAAGGTGGTCAGGAGGCTACGCTCTTAAACCAGGCACGCAGCCAAAATCTGATAAGTGGGAGTGACAGAAATGCTGTAAACAAAACTTGATTTTCCAAAGTGTTTCTAATAATCCAAAAGAATTTTCTATGATTTATGTAAATAAAGACATTTTTTTCAGATTTATTTGGTGCAGTGGTATGTATTATTTCCAACAAATTGGCGGGCTGTTGTCATAAGCTCTGCATAAATATTTGACAGCATTTCTGCACCAAAGCTGACAGCCTGTGGGTCTCGTTTGGCAAACTGTTTCATGGAAAGGGATCACTACAAAACCTGCAGCAGTTTGCCACGTGGGCCCTGCCGTAGGTCTACCTCTAAAGGTAAAAGTGTAACAGAGGTTTTGATAAGGGACTAGGTGATGGGTAATAGTTTTACTGCATTTCTTAATCCAATTATTTGCAAGTGCATTCACTGTTTTATAATTCCTGAACTCTACGTACCTCCCAGAGGTAGCAATTATATTTACTCTATTTAAGAACCTTCATTTGTCTAATAGATGAGCTTATATCTTTTTTTTTTATATGTTTCATCCCAAAATAAGATCCTGATTTTCCTGATCCTTAAAATCCTTCCCTGATCAAAAGTCTGCAGCTTTTTAAAATCTGTTTATTAGGTATTTGTTATGTAAGCAATTTAAAGGGTAAAAGGAGAATAATAAAGCAGCCAAAATACAGCAGGAAAAAAACCCCAAACTGCAAAGGAACTTTCTAGAACTGGAATGTCTGAAGGAACAGGGAAGAGAGGATCTAATAAGAGGGAAAAAGTGGAGAAACAAAAAGGACTTAATGCCTGAAGATTAGGCAAACTATGAAGTATTTTTAGAAATGACGTGTACTATCTGACTTCCAGTAACTGAAACAGCACATCTGCTTTTGGCTGAGAGTTATTTAAGCACTACAAAACCACATATGCCAAGATACTTTTCACCTGGAAGATTTTGATCTTCTGGTTGCCTGTGGTTTTGCTCTCAGTGCTTCCTGAGTCATATTTCTTTAAATAAATTAATAAACGGATATGCTTAACACGGGCTGGAATAAACAGCAATAAAACTGCTCAGTGCTTTATTTCTGGATTCCCATCTATTCACTGACTTGGCAGCAGTAAGCTACACTGTGACTTCTACCATGGGTGTGCACCATGCTGAAGGACAGTCTTTATTTAACTATGGGGAACTGCTTTGACTTTGCCTTTATGTGCCCAGCATTCAATAAGTTTCCATGGTTTTCCTGTGTAGTTTCAGAAGAAACAGTGCACATTTCTGCCTTAGATACCAAATAGAAGTACTGATTTTAAAAAAAAATATTACTTTAAGATGAACTGTTAGAGTTTTATTTATTGACTGTATTTCCTATTTATTACTCCGATGGTTCAAAAAGCTCTGTCAGAGTCAACACACTGGATCTCATCCTGGTGGTGTTATAAAAGAGACATCCAGAGAGTTTGCTAGTTGCTTTTACACTACATGGTCAGGATCTGGCCTACAAGCGAATAAACCTGGACACATTTCACTGACAAAAGTACTTAGATTAATACTGTGGGCACATGAATTAGAAGCTGTGAAGGTATAGGAACACTGGACTGGGAGGGAAATCCTTGCTTATCAAACTCCCTTCCAATCATGATTTTCACATCATATAATCCCACTCATAAAGTCATCAGGCTGCATCTTCAAATTAATTTTCTACTTAATATATTAATATTACAATCTAATATATTCATGGCCAGACAATCTTGCTGTGTTCTCATGCAAACAGTGATATATATTTAAAAAAATATATATATGTCCCTCAATATATTTGAAATGTCTTGCTTGATATCTCCTTCCACCTACTGTCTGATGCTGACTTTATGGCAGACTGTGACAAACTGTGAGACTTTAGTAATTCACGTTGGGTATTCTCTGAAAAATGTCTTGGATGTTAGCAGAAGCTGAATTAGAGCGGACACTTTGGCCTTCAGACTGCTAAGGTGGCATATGTCTCACCCACATCTGTGCTAGCTGGCATAGCCAGTCACATGGCTACAATTAATTTATTAGCTCTAGTCGACTTCTGCTCTTCGGTATGAAATTAGCTGTGGATTAGAAGTGCATATTTCTCTCCTGACAATAAGAGAGGTCTAGGTAGCTGAGACATACATGTGCGTGTCTGGGCTGACAAACTCCAGCCTTTGCCCTGAGGGGGGCATGGCCTTCCTTACACTCGTCGTTGGAAAAAAATGCGATATGATGAGAACATAAGCCAACACTATATTAACATGAAATAAGGTTTCAGCTCCTTGAAAATTAAGGAGAAAGGAGATGTTGGGGGTTCTGGCTCCAAACTCTTTCAGTGGGGGGAGGAACATGGGCTTTACCTGTAGCCTCACCAGTCAGTGGAGGAACCATGAAAACAGGCTGGAAAATAAAGACCCACATGATAAATGTACAATGTTTGTTACAGATTTGATCCAAAGACCTGCACAGGCATTTGGGATCTTCCTTTTACTGAAGTGTTGTCAATCGCATATACCAAAGACACAATTTCAGTGGAGGATCTTAAAGCACACACAAAGACTTTTCTCAGTGAAGTGTTATCAAAGAAAAAATTGAGGCTTATAATTGTTTGGAAATATCATCCCACAATTTAGGTTTTATACTGGGTTTTGGAAAGTATATGAAGCATATATTTGCCTTGAAACATAACTCAGCTGTCTCTTTTTCAAAGAAAAGTTAAACTGACAAGGAAAAAGAACATATTACAATAAGTTTGGAATAGTTATTAGTTTTTTAATTCCTATAACTGGAAAAACTTATGTCTGTTTTATTTGACAGTTAGAAAATGTTTTTTATTAGAAATATATTTTCTTTAAATTTATTACTGGAAAACAACTTTATTTGAAGAATTATTTTTATTTGCATGTAAGAATTTTTCAGTGAGTGTTTGGAATCTGTTACTGATTTTATTTACAATGAGTGATAATGTACCTGATAAAAAATTAAAATACACCAAACTGCCTTCGGAACTTGGAAGAAACTGGAAATAGACATTGCTGACTTTCAACTAAATAATTTATGCATATCGCATACAACCAATTAATTCAATAGTAGCAAGAGTTTTTATTTAATGCTCTTCAAAAATTATTATTTTTTCACATATTTATATGTTATATTGGCAGGTTGTTATAAAGATGGCCGATATTACGGAGAAGGAACAATAATTAAAGACAACTGCAATTCCTGGTAACGTTTCAGAGAACAGCAAATTGAATTTTATTTAACACATGTCATGAAACAGGAATTAATGTAGTGAGCATCGTTAAACTCATATTAAACATGTAATCAAATCACAATGTCTGGAAGGATAGTGCTGTGTTAAGCTATTGTAGGACTAGATTACCACCAATTTAGAATAATGGCAAGAGGTCAATGGGCTTTCTAATAGCGATACAAAAATGAAATTATTAAAATCTCCTACCTGGCCTAACTCTGTTCCTGCTCAGTCAATCTGCTGGCTCTGACCTGAGTCAAAATGGTTTCAGCCTAGACCTGGGCATTGACCTGAACACAGACAACACAAATATCATTAAGGTTTAGGGATTTTTTAGAATCTCTTCCTCTGTTTCTTTGGCATAAGTAATGAGACCTTATATTATTTGATAAGAAGAATATATATATATTTATATTTATACATGAAAGGGATGAACTGTTTGAGGACAGTAGCAGGCAGTGCAGGCAGGGGAGCTCTGCTGTCAGCCCTAGCAGTCGGTTGCCTGAGCCACCTCCTTGCTTTGCCTCTCCAAAAAACAGCCCTGAAAAAAACCAGCCTCAGGAAAGACCCTGGGGGGGTGGGGTGCGGGAGGTGGTGTTGTCCAGCAGCACCTAAACAGAGCTGGAACCCCACACTGGCCTGACTTTAGCTTGGGGTCCTTGGAGCAAGATGTTTATGGCCATATGGCTCCTTTCTGTGTTTCCAGAGTGAAACTTCCTCAAAATATCTCATTTACAGCATACTGCCTTTTCTCCCTGGTTTGGTCTCACAAAGATGGAAGCAAAATTTTTCATATATGACCTTTCCCACAAGGTGTAAACCTTCCCACCTTGTTCCAATTAGGATTCATTAGGTAGTGAAGTAGCAAGAAGTGGCATTATGTTTTCATAAATACTATGTCATTTATATTGTACACACTTTTATTTTTCCTCCTCCATCTTCCTTCTGCTGTTAGAGTGCATATTTTTTTCTTTGACAATTTGTGCTCTGCTCAGTGATATTCTTGCCCTTTCAGCAAATGCTTCCAAAGTCTCTGGAAGTGTTCAAAAGAAGTGTGCCTTGTTCGTCAAGACTTAATTCAGCACATAAATTCTGGAGATTATGGGTGAGAACACTTTTATTTTAAGGCTTTGTTGTAAACCACTGTATTGCTCATTTTATGTATGTGCAAATTACAAGTTATGCAGTCCTCCCCACCCCTTCTTTCCCCAGTTATATTACAGCAATTTGTCAGTATATGTACATCTGTGAAACTTTCCTAAATCTCTGGCAGATTATAGAATTTTAAATGGAAAGATACTGAAAGTTTCATGCTGGTAAGAGTTGACATTGTAAAATATCTATATCTAAAACATTCTCCTAATCTAGTAAAACTTTCTATTTTTTACACAAAATACTATTTAAATCATCTTCCTCTATTCTTCACTTTATTTATTACTTAGGATAGATATTTGAAGTCATCTTTTCCTCCTCCCTCATGAGCTTTCCACATAACAGTACTCTAGTTACAAGAAGCCTGTACTGCCAACTCTAGGTAGCGTTAGAAGAGGAAAGGATGGGCCAAGTGGGGACCAAGACATCAGAAATTTCTGGGGCTTGGTGTTTTTCTCCCTAGCAGTTCTCATTCCCCGCCAGGTAATGAATGCAGAGGAATTAGGGATACCTCAGCACCAGAGCTGTGCCATGGGAGCCTGCTGACAGTTTACAGACTGTACAGAGGTACAGGGGCTACCCCCCTAGGAGCTGAGGTGTTCATTCGTCAGTGAAGCCTGCCCAGATTCCAAGCGGTGACTCAGTGCTGAAACATTTTGCACTTCAGGGGGGATATTAAATCAACGGAGTTAGGGCAGACCATTAGGTTAGGCACCTGGAGCTCTTCACCTCTCTCCCCTCAGAGGTAAGCAGTACGGTTTGCCACAGGGTGGTTAAGCCCACCGGCAATATGACTCAGCTTCTGCAGGTGATTGCACTCTTCACTGACTACAGGCAGCCCAAGAGCAATGAGGCTCCTCATTTGAGCAGCACTAATTTTATCTCCTTGCTCCTCATACAAAAGCAAGCAAGAAAGGAAAAGGCAAAGAGAATGCGTTCCCATGTGGCTCAGATCTTTTCTAGTAATAATGAATTTCATTTTGTTCTAAAGGTATACAAGACATCTTTTTTTCTGTTTTGCATGGTTAACACTACAGTCTGAGCCTTGTCTATCTGAGAGTAGGGAAGGCACAGTTAAAGAGCCATGGGGAGCCCTTTCTCACAACCTGGCTGTTGGTGTAAAACTCGGGCAGAAGGTGTCAGCTGGACTTTCTGCTGGGTTCAACAGTGCCTCGCTGCTGGTGCACCAGAGTTTGAAAGCAATGTAACTCACTACATGAAGCTGTTAGCTCACTGTGGGCATCTGATCTGAGGCATAATTTGAGTGTAACTTCAAGACGACGGTAATTGTTATGATTGAGCATCTTGTTTTCCAGTACTTCTCTGCAGCATTGCATGCTCTATCTCCAGCAGGCTGACATGATGTTGACCTCAAATCACCACTTCTCATATCCTGCTGTGTAGCTCCATCCTAAGCTCATTTGCAGTGGTGGTGCCTGTATTAAGTATTTTCTCATGCATATTGAATGCAAGGTTTTGAAATGCAATTAGAAAGATTTATTTCTGGATGTTATTGTTACCGGTGTTCTTACAAAGGCACAAGGTATTAACGTGAGTGGTATCTCTAACCTGGGGTTTGTTTTCTCTCTGTGAGGAAGATGGAAAGCTGACAACTACACTCAGTTCTGGGGAATGACAGTGGAAGAAGGTTTCAAAAAGCGCCTGGGCACCCTACCACCATCTCATTCCCTGCTGAATATGAGAGAAATTCCAGTAAGTGTCATGTACAATTGTTAATTTTTTAATAACTTTTTCACATGGAAAAATATATATGGACAATTATAAGACTATGATTCAGAGATTTAACATCAAATGCTTCCATGTTGAATATGAAGCTCCTGGAATAGTTCTCCAAACTGTAGTTTGTGTGGTTCTATTGGTGGAAATCAAACAAGGAGGAACAAAACCAAATATTAACCATTGCGAAGCTGTACACCAATACGAACTTAACATTATAGATCACTGCCTTTGAAATCTTTTGCTTCTTTAGGATGGTTCTATCCTTTCCTCTCTATTTGCTAATCGTTGCACACATAGATATAACCATTAAAAAAAAAAAATCTGTGCCTAGATCATTAAGACTAACAACTGAGACTAAACAGCAATCTTTGAAAGAATGAAGCAATGTAAAGATGCAGTAATAGGCTGGGGTTTAGAACAAATGGAAAGAAAAATGATGTGAAGCATAGGAAAACTAGGTAATTCTCTACTACCAGCTTTCTAAACCTCTTGTCCATTGCCATTTATGTGGTTGCTAAATTAAATTTCCATTTATATATTTATGCTCAAATTAGTTCTGCAGCAAAGCAAATACACCTTAAGCTATATGGGTAGGTTAAGCAATTAAAGAAGAAATGCGTAGCTATTGATTCCAGAGTAGATTTTCCTATGCTTTGGGTCAGTTACTTAACTTCTTTCTTAGAAGACCCAAATTATTGAAATTATAGACTGAAAAATATTAACTACATCACTATGGTGAAATTAGAAAAATTGCAAGAATGAGTAGATAGACTCAAGGTTTGTAAATTATATTAAATATAACAGGTTTTTGCCTTTGGCAAGTGATGCCATTTGATTATCTATTTGAAGTCAGTCATTGATGCTTGTTATATATGTGTATGGCAGAAGGGTTTCCACATCACAGAAAATCTTGTGGGGACAACAGTGCAGAGCTACTATTTGACAGGGAATTTGGGAAAGAGGTCCATTTGCCTCTGCAACATTTTTAACAATCCTAACCCTTTTGCTTGATGCAGACTGATTTTTTTTGTCCTCCATAAAGTCATCTTCCTGCTCTGGTGTGGCAAGGCATTGGGCTGTAGCTCAGATTGGCCAGCTTGCTCAAAATTACACCATGGAGGGTTGTCAGAGAAAGAAGTTGACAGAAATTAAGCTTTGAAGTTTTGCTTCATGTGATTTTCCAGAGTATTCTTTGCAGCCAAAGAGAGATCCATTTCAGTTGAAGATGGCATGTCAAAATAAGACAGTCATAGATGTTAGTGCAATACTTAGTAGGTATTTGTCACAAATTAGCAGTGAACTGCATGGAGGCTCAAGAGACTTGGGGCTGACTTGCTGTTGTTGGCTTTTGCCTTGAGGAATACAGTATGACATTTATACAGCAGAAGCAAAACATGGGCATCATATACTTAGCTCAGAGATTGATGTCTACATGTCTAGCTAGGTGAGACAGATTCCACCTAGGAAAAAAAGAAAAGGAAGGATATAAGAAATTATTTATGGTATTTCCTCTCTTCCATTCTTCCAGTTTGAAGTAGCTAATCATTCAGCGGTCCTGTATTATCTCCAGCCTAGTAATTCTGTTATTAAGCTTCCTGTAGCTTCTTTGGCTGCTGCACTGCTTATGGCCTTTGTTCCACTGACATATTTATCAGGCATATTTTTTTTATCTCTTATCTTTTTGTGAAATCTGTGAGCTACAGCCCAACTACCTTTGGCCTTGCCAGGTACCCCATGATCGTCAGTGCATTCTTCTCCAGAAATCCAACTTCGCACATGCATGCATTTAGCCCTTGGAAAGTCCTGCAGGTTGCTGGAAGTACAGGCTTTGCACAGGTTTCTAAGAAACCTTTCTCTCTACTTAGAAAGGTTCAAAATATAAAATAATAACATCTGTATGACTTAGCTTCTGGAGAATTCTTTGAACTTGCAGAAAATTGCTCTGAATTGTACATGAGCCCATCTCCTACCTATGGCTTCTCTTCAGAAATACTAGAACTTTCTTGCTCCTAACCCAGTGGTTTCTGTTTTGGCTAGTCTTAATGTAAAATATTTTTCTCTGTAGCTTTCTGCAAAGTTCCAAAGCTCCCTGATTCTGTCCTGTTCTATAGCTTTCTAGAAGAACATCATCTCTGTAGTGTCCTTGTTCTGCCTCAGGAAACTTCCTATCTGCCACATTTTAATATTTCACAAAAACATTAAATAAATAATAGTTTTTAAAAAAGGTTTTCTTCACTCATAGCCAGCTCAATATCTACTGTCTCTGCACAATCCGTCAATTTCATAACATGGATCTGGCTCACCACGGGCACATAGAGAGATTCTTCCAATTGGCAAACCAACAGTAGCCATGGAGTATAAGATAAGTCTTATACCTGATTTTAAGACACACTTACCCCTGCTTCACCGTCCACGAATAATTTTCTGTCAGTGATATTTCCTGAAGAATACTAACACATTTACAAAGTCCTAATTGATGAAAAACAAGTAGGTTTTCATGACAGTGTTTCCATTAAGCTTCACCTGTAACTAGGTTACTGCTGAGAAGAGAGTAAAAAGATACGAATGGCAAAATTTAGAAATAATGACTTTTTCATATTTTTCAGAGACATGCCCCAAACTTTAATGGCTTGACCTTTAAGTGACTTTGTTGAGTACTAATTCACCCTCAGGCCAACCTATTAGTTACTTGCTGTGGCTAAATTGGCACTAATTAAGTATTCATGCATTCTATGGGATTATTACTGTCTTTCCCATTTTGCAGGTGAGATAACGGCAAATCGTTTGCCCGAAGTCATATGTTTAGTTGATAAAAATGTTACAATTAGTGTTCAGTAGTTTTTGGCTCTATCTTGTCGTGACCTGATTAAAACCTGGCAGCTTTGCTAATGTAGGAAGAAAACCATAGCTACTCATTCATTAAATACATTAAAAAAACCCCAAACAAACAAACTTCAAAAAAACCCACCAACATTATTTATTCAACATGCTACTTATCTGTTATTTAGAGAATAAATGTCAGTTTCTGGTACCTAAGGGCCTGTTGTTCTGATTATTTTCTAATGTATTTTTGGAATGCTTGAGAAAAACATTTTTCTGTGTAGAAGGATCTCTTTACTCAATTGCAGGGAAAAAAAAGATTCAAAAACATAAAGCCCTTCCATGTTAACCACTTTACACTGACAGTGGAGTCTTAGGTTGCACCAGTGCTGAAATGGTTTGTTGTGGAGTAGAGACTTTTTAGTTGTTTTTTTGACTGATGTATCCAACCACAAATACGGCTTCATAATATTACTTCAAATGAAGTGTGGCAGAGCTACAATTCATCTCAGGGAAAACATAAGCTTCTTGAAGTAGAGCTTTTAAAAGCTCTGCTATTAATAAAAGACTATACCTGCTCAATAAGGTGATGTCTATGTCTAGGAAGGGTATTTTAACATGATGGCACGTTAGAATACCTAAAATACAACGATATGGAACAAGAACTAAATCTGAACCGAGGACCCTCTGCTGCAGAGTATGGGTAGACCTGAATAATGACCTGCAGCTCAATGCACCACTAAAATTGTTGTGACTCCTGACAATGCTGGAGCTCCCAATAGTGTCACGTGCATTAGCTGAGAAAACACTTGAAAATGTTTACCCACTGCAGGAGATAGTGTTATCATTCTTGAAGCTCTGTATAATGCAAAAATGACCACCACACCTTTAAAACACAGAGTGATACACATTTGGTGGTATTCTGTCAGTACATGTTCTGGCAAGAGGTGCATGGCAATGATGGTGTCTGTACCTGCTGGCAGCAAGGTGTCACTGAAGGGCCATCTTTCAAGAAAATGAAATACACAGTTTAGTAATATGGCATCATTTGGGATTAAGTATCAAAGAACTTGTAAAGGCAGTGTGAAACTATACAAAGTATACCAGCTGTTCCCTTATGGTTCAAATGAGTAGTTTATGTCATGGTTCCTCTGATAGATGTTTTTTCCTGGTAAAAATGTTCAGCAGCTGTACATCTCCCCTTGCAAACTGAAGGCCGTGCATGCCCGTTTTGTCTTTAAAAGGGAGCGATGTCCAGAACCTTTTTCCTATATTAAAAAACCCCAAACCAACCTCTCCCAAAAAACCCAAACAAACAAATTGTATTCCCTCAGAAAAACTATTTCCACATTTGCAACTTCAGAAATCTTCAGACCTTTTTCTCTGATAAGCCATCTAGCTTTATTGAAGAAGTCATAGCTGAAGTTAGAGTGTTCTTTTATAACCCATTATCCTCCCGCTTTGACCAGACTGCTAGCTTCACTGCAGAGAATACATATGAAGGTTTAAAAATAGTTTGCCAGTCATTTTTTTCTGATTGCATTGTGCTGTCTGGTGGTGGTCCATGGAGCACACATTGAGAAACAATTGTCTAGACTTACCATTTGTGACAGAACAGCAGTGCTTCTCGATATCAGGGTAGCAATTTCCCAGACAAAAGGCTAATGTCTCTGGCTGTAGGTCAATCCTGTATTTTTAAATGACAAGGCTGAGGGTTAATGAGGGATTTGCTCTGGGATTTACAATATGAGGCTGTTAAATACGTTGGCAGTAGTTTAGGAATGTGTAAAGTAACACATTGTCTCAGACCAAAGATCTATTTAGAATTCTGCTTTTCTCAACTGCCTTATTTCATAGACTTACAGAAAATCATAGAATGCCAGGTTGGGAATTACCTCAAAGATCATCTGCTCCAACCTTTCTTAATTTGTACATTGTAAGCAGCCATTGCCTACATGAGTGTGCTGAATAATATTTACTAGATTTTGCTTATTTACTGGTTGATAGTGAGCAGTTTTAACATGTAAAAGAAATGTTATTTGTCTGGGATTTTGCTAATATGATTCATCTTCAAAGTAAATCTTGTGCTTGCTCATTAATGATGAATGTAATAATAATTTAGCAAGCTATTCTTTAATTTAGCTGTTGCTTTCTCTGTGTTATTTGAGGTTGCAAGTCCCATGTATCTAACCAGACTTTGAAAAAGTAGACTTTTTTAAATTGATTAATCAAAATATTGAGATTAATATTTCAACAAATTTTAAAAGATTACTAGCTTGGTATGTGTGGAGCTAAAATTTTCAAAAGTACTTACGTGAGTCTACAGCTTGCAGTACACTTTAAAAATGGCTAGTGATGTTTAGGACTCACAGACTGCATCTGAAGTAGTGAGCCTAGAAACACCTGATAGTAACTGGGTTTAGGCGTATGCACAGACTGTATCAATCTGTCTGTTGGGGCTGACTCCCAATCTAATATCAGGTATAGACCTGAGGTACAAGCTTCTTATTTCCTTATTTGCTTCTCAACTGTGGGTTTTCTGTGGGAAGTAAATCCAGGTGTACAAGCTGGATGGAGGCACTGCTGTTTACCAGTGTGATTTGAAATAAAATAAAGAATTTTGAACAGGATAGAAGCCATTGTGCTTCGGGGCATGAGCCTGCTTATAAGAAAGAAGCATCAGGGAATGTTTTGCTTTGGTGCAGATTATCATATTTTGTATATTATATTTTCCTCTGCAACAGATGTTATCAACAATTGTTTGAGACAAACTGGTAGACTGGATGGACTAACACTGCAATTCTGTATGGCCATTCCTATTTCCCTGCACAGCATAAGCAATCATTCCATAAAGATCAACAGTTAAAAAAAGAAAAAAAATGGGTCAATGGTTTTAATATGTCGACCAAAGAGCTGATTATTAACAGTTGTAGCAGATGGTTCTTGCATATGTGGATATTTGTGCAAAGCTTGGAGGACATAAATTAAGGCTGAGAGATGAAGATGCCAAAAATGACTATCCAAATGGCTGTATTGAGCAGACCGTGAATTCTCATCAGCTCAATATCAGATGGCAGAGCAGAAGGAAAATCACTGTTTTTTTGGTGTTTTGTGTTTTTTTTTTTTTTTGTTTGTTTGTTTTTTTTTTTTTTCCTGGAATGAAACTTAAGTGCTGGAGATGAAAAACCTCTGTGTAAAAGACAAACTAATGATACGCTGCATTGATACCTCCCCATGGTAACTAAAATGTCTCACATGCAGCCATGTATCAAGGACAACATGGTAACAGGTACCTAACTGCACTAGCAGAATGCTTTTCTTTCCAAAAATGCCAGCTGGATCATCATTAACATGTTTCACAGGGTAATGTCTGAGATAAATATTTGAGAGAAACTGGACACGTTATTCAGGTTGGCAGCTGTGGAGCTCAGCTTTCCAGCTCAACTGGTGGAGTGCCAGAAGCCCCTGGCTCTCAAAGGGTCATCAGCCCTCAGCCACAGGGTAACTGCCGTAGGGATGTTCAGGAAGTTACAGCTGCCAATGCTTTAGGCTTTCTCAACTTAAAAATTCAGAATTTTTGAAGCAAAATAAGGAGGAAATTTAAGGCAAGATTAGGAAATGAAGCACATACAGATCTCCTACATTTTGTTTTAGGGAAAGTCACTTCCAGAAGAAAAATTTCCTGCATTTTTTGCAGCCACTTATGCATGGCCTGAGTGGATTCATGATCCTCTGGATCAACGAAACTGTGGAGCATCCTGGGCTTTCTCAACTGCAAGTAAGACTAATTTTTTTTTTTCTTTTAAAAATATCACTGTCTGTTAGATGTGTGATGAAAATTTGTAGTGATTAGTAATAAAGTAATTTCAGGTTACTGCTCAATTTGTGTCAGCAAATAGGAACGTTTAAAATTGTTACAGCTTTCCCTCTAAATTGTCCCAATCTAAGTCAGTCTAAGCTGTAGAGGTTTGCTTCTCATAAGTTTCTGTAACATGGGGAGAACTTTTGGTGACAGAAAGTAGAAAATGACTTGTGTAGTGAACTTTATCATAACTGGTAAAGTAACTTAAAAAGTCTGAATTCCTTGCTGGCACAACTACATGCTTGACTTGAAAACTTAAAGTAAGCTTTATTTTTTTAATATAAATGCATATATTTGTGCATTTGCCATTGTCCAACCCTATCTATTCAAGTAAGTTAAGAGTATTATTTTCACAATTTTGTAAAAACAACAACAACAATCCAAAAACCAATTCTGAAGCTGCTCAAATATTTGTAGAAGAAACTATTTCCAAATTCTGTAAGCAAAGAAATGTCAGTAATGCAATTCAACCTCATGTGCTACCACATCTGGTTTCATGAAAAATGGACACAAATATTTGTGTCACTTTCTCCAAAGAAGCTACAGCCATCAGTTATGTTATTTCTTCTTATGTTGCAATAAATCACAGTACATATTGGGATATATATATAAAGGTAGAGAAGAAAATTATGCAATCAATCTTTATGACTCGATGCAGCCAGTGGGTCTTCATAGGTGCAGGTTTCTGCAACTGCTTCTTTAAATCAGAGAAGTAAGAGAAGAAAAAGACCATTTAGGTCACTTAATCCCAGCTCCTTTCCAAAGCCAAAATGAACACCCTCTGTTACCAATATTTCTTGTGCAGTTTAGTTTTAAGAGAAAACCAAGAGAGCTTCTAACAGCTCTACTGACAGATTACTGCAGAGAAGAACAGAGCTCACTGAGGGGGAAGACTTCCCAGGTATTCAGTCTAAAGTTTCTGTTTCATAAGAGTCTTCTGATTTTAATTCACATAATTATTTTCAATGCTAACTATTGTGAGATCGCTTCCCATGTTATTTAGGTGTATTAACATTTTCAATCTGAATTTTCAATCCTCCTTTGTAGGATGAACTTGTTAATGAATAGGCAAGCACCGGTCTATCATTTCTTCTTATCATGAGTAATTCCTATATGCGTTCCAAAACTATGCAGTGAAAAGCATTTAAAATTATGAAAATAAATTCATGTGACACCTCACAAAAGATCAACACACATTCGTTGTCAACTATCATCAGCAGATTTACTTGTCCAAAGTTCACTGAAGTCAGTGTTGATTTTGATGTGTCTTTAGATTTTAATGGATTTTTAATTATTATTTTCAGGATCAAAAATGAAATGTTAACAATTAAAACCAAATTGGCTGGGATTGGAGCTTAGTTGTTGTTTCACTGACACCCAATAAAGAGAAGTGTCTTAATTTCACCTACTATTTATTTAACCTAGTCTGCCTTTATATCAGTTATATATTAGTACTTAGAATTATGGCTATCTGATTGAGTTCAGACATTTGAGGTGTCTATCTCACAAGAAGAACCTTGTGCGATAAGGAAACCAAATTGGCTGGGATTGGAGCTTAGTTGTTGTTTCACTGACACCCAATAAAGAGAAGTGTCTTAATTTCACCTACTATTTATTTAACCTAGTCTGCCTTTATATCAGTTATATATTAGTACTTAGAATTATGGCTATCTGATTGAGTTCAGACATTTGAGGTGTCTATCTCACAAGAAGAACCTTGTGCGATAAGGGATACACATTCATATGAGTAAATCCAAATATTTTTTCCATTAAAACCAATACATACATTCACATTTGAATTTTATTTTTCATAGAACTAGTCTTTTTTGCCCTTGGTTTTTTTTTTCTTTCTCAAATAAAGTAATGAAAGATAGGGGGAAAAAAAAAAGAGATTTGGGGATTCAGCTGCGGAGAAGTGAGTGAGTATTTGCATCTTCTCCTGAAGACAGCCAGAGATGAATATGCTTTTATAAACATGATAAAAACTATCAGTTAAATTATGTAAATGCCTCATATGATCTTTAGATATCTGGGATTATATGATATCCAGAAAACCTATAGATTAGAATATTACAGCAAATTTGCTCATGGTGCTTTGCAGTTTCACAATCCTCTTTCTTGAAAGTCTGTACAGAGTATATACGTATTGTTTTGTAAAGATATCTGCACGGGCAGAAAGTACTGATGTTGTATTTCAGTTCCTCTTTCACAACCAGCATGAAGTTGTGAGTAATTATTTGGTTTTGATAACAGAAAATTTATTTCCTAACAGGTGTTGCAGCAGATAGAATAGCTATTCATTCCGAGGGTCATATCACAGACAACCTTTCAGTTCAGAATTTGATATCTTGTGATACCAGGAATCAACATGGATGCAATGGTGGAAGTATTGATGGTGCTTGGAGATACTTGAAAACACATGGGTAGATATTTTATTTCTCTGTTTAGCTTATTTTAACTTGAACCAGTTGCTTAAACTGCAATGTTGCTTGCGTCACAATGATGATTCCTGACCTCTCACAAAAGAGGCATTTAGCTCTGTCCTAGGTCAAATGAACTGTACTACTTCATCAAGACTATCACTACCTTTCATTTACACCTTCTTTAAATTACCTTCATGAAGCCCAGGAATTACGAAGCATTCCCAAAGAAATAAGTGGAGACTATTTTGAATGAAAGCTCACAGTGAGAAAATTCTGCAACCACCTAGCTTCCATTTAAGCCTCATTACATCTAGTTGTTGTCATTAGCTATAATGCAACTAGGGAAATGATAGGCTCTCTAACAGCAAGACAAACAAGAAAGTTGTGGTGTGGTAGGGTTTTTTTGGGTTTTTTGTTGTTGTTTTTTTTTTTTTTTTATGTCAGAGACAGTACCGTAAGTGGATTCAGAAGTTCTACAGTTATTAGGGTATAGGCTCTTCAAGTTAAGCAACCCTGAGTAAGCAGACAGTTCCATGAGACAACATTTTGAATATTCAAAAGGGTCAAACATTGTCTTTCTGTTAAGCAAATTGTGAAGATCCTATCCCAAGACTGTGCCAGAAAGCAACACAGTAGCAAGGACTATACCTAGATCCTTCTTCCTTCAAGCTGGACTAAGCCGTTAATGGCTCTCAAACTCCACATGAACAGCTAGAAGTTTTTAAAAATGACATATAGTAATTTATAGAATTACAGAATGATTTAAGGTGGAATTATCTTTCGGAATTCACCTAGTCCAGCATCCAGCTCAAACCATGGCTAACCCTGAAATTAGATGAAGCTGCTCAGGCCAAGTCCCTGTCATGTTTTGAGTATCTCCAAGGACTGAGTTTCCACAACATTTCTTATGGTACATCTCTTCGTTTGACAACTCCTGTTGTAGAATATTTTTTTATTATATTTAATCAGCATTTTCCTTGGTATGAATTGTTACTGGTAACTTTCAGCTTTTCAGTCTACATCTCCAAGAAGAGTCTTTCCATCTCCTCTATGACCTCTCCTTACATAGTTGAAGACATTAATTAGGTCCCCTTTTAGATTTCTCTTCTCTGGGTTGATAAAATTCAGCTGACTCGGCCCCTTCATGTTTATCATATGCTTCAGCCCCCCAAGTGCCTTCCATTGGACTTGCTCAGTTTGTCAGTCTCTTTACTGGGGATGCCATAACTGAACACAGTACTCCAGACATAACATCACAATTTGAAGGGAATAATCATTTTCCATAATGTCTTGGCTATGGTATTGCTAACACAACGCAATATTGATTTTCCACCTTTGCTGAGAGGGCCCAGTGTTGACGCACGTTCAACTTTCTGCTCATCAGAACCCCAAGTAATTTTCTGTGAAACTGTTTTTTACACAGACTGTGTCCTGCCAGTAGAGCTGTATGGGCAATTCTGGCTCAGAGACAGGATTTGGCTTCTGCCTTTGTTGAAATTCCTGAGGCTTCTGTCAGCTCACTTCTTCAGTGTTGCTCTGAATGGCAGCCCTGCATACTAACCACTCCCCGCCAATTTGACATCCTCCACAAATTTAATGAGGGTGCCTTATGTCCCACTGTCCAAATTGTAAACAAAGTTGCAAATCAGTTTTGCAGCAGCAGCATTAACTCCTGAGGAATGCCACTAGGAAACAGACACCAGTCACTTTGATCTGCCGACCTTTCAGTGTGCCCGTCCAGTTCAGTTACTGACCTTGTATGCAACTCGTCCAGTCCAGTATCTCTCCAATTGAGTTAGGAGAACACTACATGAGACCATGGTGAAAATGTTGCTAAAGCCATGGTAAACGATATCTGCAACTTTTCTTATTCTCCATGGAGGCAGTCATTTCATCATAGTCAGATCATCTCATTGCATCATCCCATCATGGTGAGGCAAACTATGCCTCGTGGTAAATCTGTCTTGCCTGTGTCCAGTTTACTCCTTGAACTTCATGTGCCTGGAAACTGCTTCCAGGAGGATTTGCAATAAACAGGTTTATATACTGCATAATTAAATTCCACTGTTTCTCACATTATCAAAAAAATGTTTGTACATCCTGTTCCATACCAAAATCTATTTCATCTCCCACTTTCATACTCTCTCATCCCTTATTCTGTCTTTGATGTACTTGATACTGACAGACAGACAGATCTCAGGTGTACTGACAACTTTTAATTTTAGTTAACAGACAAACAAACCACGGAAAGAGTGAAAGAATGTCCGATGTGATGCATCAGATATCACAGTTGTCATGGCTGCCTGGGGATCCAGGTGAAGACCAAAGCACTGTCACTCAGAAGGACACAGTGTATAAAGTGATTGTTCTGTTTTCTTCAAGTGTACCAAAATGTTTCTGATCTGACAAGGATTTTCTGTTCTTATGGGGAGAGTTTACATCGAGTGTCCCTCTGTCTTTCCATCTCAGGGTTTAAATACTAAACTAGTTTTGATCTAGGTTTTGAGTGGGATACCCTTTAGGTGAGTGATTACAGCAGGCAGTAATAGTTTCCTTCTCAGCACCTCCTGTGGGTAAAGGCAAAGGCTTCAATCATGAAGAAAAGAAAGCTATAACCTAACATTTTAAGGAACACTTTTCTTTAACTAGAATAACATGCTCCCTTTAAGCAGTAGCTCATGCTCTTAAGACAGTAAATACAACTCTTTCTCACTGGACTATTCACTTGCCTACCTTGTCAAGGATGGGAGCACAAGAGTCTGTGGTGTAGATAAGGTAAGAGATCCATTTTAATGAGTATTATCTCCACAACAGTTGGAGCAAGCTATTTTTCCAGGAAAAGCCCTAAAGAACACAGTAATAGGACAAAATACAAGTCTTCTGTTTCCTCTGACTGTTATCCCTGTATGGGCACCATGAGCCCGTAATAATAAGATTCTTCCTATATGAGAAATCTCGGTTTGGTTTTGGGTATTTTTTTTTTTTTGCCTGGAAGTGTGGTTAGTGATGCAGAGTGTTCTGCAGAGGCATTTCAAGTATACAGGAGTTATCTTCTAAGATAAGTGAGGCAGGCTGAAGCTGCATGAGGCATTTCATTATCAACCCAGCTGTATCCACACAGGGGGTCATGCTGGTCTAAACGTAGTAGTGAGAAGGTTGTCCCCTGACTAGCCACAGAGTACTGTGTGGAAGTGGTGTGTAGAGCAGGCTTTTGGACTGATGTAAGCGTATAAACAAGGCACCCACCTTGAACTATCTTTTTGCCTTCCAAATACTTGCATCATTGCTCAGTCATCTGAGACACCTCACGCTGTTCACCAGCCTCTGGCAGATGACTGCCTGAGTAAAGAATCTGCAGGGCAGTTGTGAGAAATATCACAGATTTTTTGGAGACTATCTAGAACCCCAGTAAGTCTGCAGTCCCAGGTGATTTTCTTAGTCATTCATCCACCTTTCTTATCCTCATGGGGCCAGCTCCAACACATACATCATCACTGTTCTCTTACAGACCTTTGCCTGCTACCTATTCTTAGCACCATCAAAGTATCCCACACAAAAACATCTCTACTTACCTTTCTAAACATTTCTATCTTTCCTCAAATTCAAATGATATTTCAAATCCACTTCCATCAGTTCCATCATACAGCCACAAATAAACACCTTAAGGAAAATATCCAAATATCTGTGAGGACACATACTGGAAGTACACAGAATGGCTGTGCTGGGTCTGAGCAAGCGTCCATCTAGTCCAGTATTTTGTCTCTGACAGTGGGAAAGACCAAATGGTATAAGGAAAAACTAATTAATTCACTAGACTGGTAATGGAATAATTTTTGTAGCTGAAACGCCCTAATTCATAACCCTTTACCTTTAAGAATGAAAATATGGAAATTTATGGCATAAAAATCTGAAGTGTATTCTGAATGAGGCTTGTTAAATAGTGCTTGCTTCCTCACACTTTTAGGTGACTTTTATTTTATGAGCCAGTATATTGCAATCATTTTTTTCATTATCTCCATACCTTGCAACAGGGAGAAAGCACATTGATTTTCTGTGTGGGCTTGTAAATTTTCACAGCAGGTGCTAAATGCTGTTTTAAAGCTTCTGGTTTTCTGATTTCTGAAGTGTGCTGATCTCAGGTTTTTGATAGATTTTCAGGAAAATCAAGTGCTGGCCTATATCCCTAGTGAAGCCAATAGGAGACTTCCATAAAGCTCAATGAAGCTCAGTGCTGAGACCTGAATATTCAGAATCACTGAGCACTCAATTAACAGTGAAATCTGCTATAAGTGGAGCTGAATAACTGTTTAACTCTCACTCTCTCTTTCTGTCTCCCTCCATCAATTAAAGAATAAATATTTATTCTGTTTCTAATTATTACTATTAATTTTAGTTAGTTACAAACTATAATTAGGGAGAAATCAGTGTGGTTTGAAAATATCTATTTTATCTGTTAAGGGAAATCAAAAGCTCATAGCATTTAAGAATGAGAAAGTAACACTTCATTTTCAAGTAGTAAAAAACTACACATACTGCTTCTAATCACGGCTTTGTCTGATTCGTCCCTTGGGCTCTTGGCAGTTGCAGGTTATGATAAGGCTATTATTGTTATTAGTTTTGGCCAATTTGCTAATAGTGTGATCTAATAATATTTTTTTTTTATTAGGCTCTTTCTCACAATTTCAATATATAAATACAGTAAATACATGTCACTCAGCAGCTATCCTTTATTTCTTCTGGCATTCTGTGATCAGTGGTGACTAGAATAATTATGTATATAGAGATAGATACATTTTCTAAACATTACATATATATGCATATGCAAAACAAAGGTTCCCTTCTACCCAACAATAGAAACAAGGCATAATAAAAAGAGTAATAACAACCCATGTATATTTTGCCTAAATACTTACCATTCCCCATTGGAAATCTGGGAATCCAGAATACCTTCAGACATTGAGAAGGCATTAAAAGAGGTTGCAGGTGAGTAGACTGAAGACCTAAGCAATAGCAGCTTACCTTTAGGTGGACAATACCTTTCAATGTAGGCAGAATTACTGCTTTTTGCAGCTTCTGGGTGTGTTGGTCTAGTTTGGGCAGAAAGAATTTGCTAAGCAAAAAGCCATTCTCCTCAGGGTCAATTTTTCTACCACCACAGGCAAATGGGAAAATGACTTTTCTTAGCCAAAGAAGTTGAAGCATATATGTGCTTATCTTGTAAAAATCCTGATAATTAAATATACACAAACTTAATTATCCTGTGTTTCATAGAAATACAGTTTCCAGTTCTTCAGATTTGTAAAGTTCAGTGTAATTGGCAAGTTACATACATACATAACCTTTTTATAAGACTACCTATTTTAAAATATTCTGCTTCAGTGAACTATTTAATTATGCTCTTTAAAAGAAACCCTCTGATAGGCCTCCATATCATTATCACAGAAATGTGTATATTGTTTTGGAAACATCTAACAGTATAATGTAGATAACTAGGAGGTCACAATATCTCATAAAAAGGATAAAATAGTAAGTGGAAGATTCAGGGTGCCTTTATTCGAGTATTTCAGGTTGTTAGTAAGTGTATTTTAAATATATGCTTTGTTTGCTTCACTTTATTGAAGTAAAAAGGATGTTCAGTTAGTTAGCTAAAAAGTCAAAAAGGCTGAATAATTCAGGATAAGCTATTTGGAACAAACTTACTGTATGAAGAAGCAGTTCATTTGATGTATTGCCAAGGTAAGGAATGAAAACCCCTCCTTAGCTTTCCTTGAAAGTACCTCTTATTTTCACTGCCCTTTTCCATTCTTGGATGCAATGAGGGCTCTTAACCTGTGCTTCAAAGCTCCTTTGATTTAGCACTTTGGAGATTTTCAAATCCAAAATTAGCATGGGTTTAAGTCTCAGGTAAGTTATCAGAGCTCCTCTACAGTCACTCCACTAGCAACATGAGTGTTAAATGCCTTCAAGTCTTTGAAGCCTGCAACTAGAAAAATGTCAGACAGGTGAAATTTTCATTGTTAATCCAAGATTTGTCTTTGTTTCATTTAAAAGAGTTAATACAACCCACACATCTGCAGTTGTACATTGGTTTTGAAATCTTTATTAGAATAGAAACTTCCCAGTGATTACTGGGTTTAATATTTTTAAGTTATCATCTTTGTAGAATATAGAATTTAATTTAAAAGTATTAAAAATTACTATTATGTACTGTAGATAAAATATAAAGCCTTGAAATTCAAAGCTGTAATGCAAATTTATAATGAGTGGTAGGAAAAAATTAACCGCTGTATGTGCGAGCAAAAGATCTCTGAGCATTTAGAAAACATTTTGAGGTAGATACTTTCCTAAGAAATAACCAGAATGTTTTCAGGAGCTGTAGAGACCAGACACATCCACCTGTGATATCATGGCACAATCTACCATTTTAGTTTCATCTTAGATGCTCACTGCTGTCAATAACTGCCCCAACTTCCTGTTGTCTGGGAATACACTGAGTTCAGCCTAATTCTGGATACTCTGGATATGAGTTTAACCCTGTCAAGAGCAATGTGATGCAAAAATGAAGACAACAGATAAAGCACTTACTCATGTCAGCTTTGTATGCACAAACATTACTGAACGTTACTGAAAAATAGCAAAATTATATAATTGCAATAAATCCAACCATTAGATTGTTAATTTATTGATCTTATTCAGTGTGAACTTTCATGCATCATTTATGAGGTTAATGTACTAAACAACAACCATTAAGTGACTAGGTGACACAATTTGCCTACGTCCAGAGGACGACTGCAACTGAAACAGTCCTAAACGTCATGCATATGAATTGAAGCAAACACTTTCCAGGTGAAGATCTGAGACCTTCACACTTTCGAAGAATGAGGGACTCTGTCAATTTACTTTAAAAACAACAGTTGAAAATAATTAAAATCTTGAAATAAAACTGCAGAAATGTTTAAGTAAGCTTATGATCAACTTTTTAAAAATTCTTTTCCTCTGAACAGGGTTGTATCCTATGCTTGCTATCCATCATTTTGGAACAATAATCTGGAACCCTCAGGTGAAAATCACTGTTATGTGTCAAGTGAATATGGAAAAAACTATACAAATGGGCCATGTCCCAATGCTTTAGAACAATCCAATCAGTTATACCGGTGTGCCTCTCACTACAGGGTCTCCTCAAAGGTAAGTTCATGCTGTGCACCCATTGTCTCACCCAGTTTTCTCTTCTGGGGTTTGAAAATTGTCTGGCAGATTGAAGTATGTTGAATTTACTTGAAGACTGGAGCTGTGAATTTCACTTGTATTTTCAGAAGAATTTAAATTCTTTATAGCTTCTCAGGTTTACATCATCTCTTCATAGGTGCTGTTCTGTGGTCCTACAGAGATTAGAGACAGAAAAAGTATGCATTCATAACTGTGCATTAGTGCTTCTTAAACATGAAGGTTTTGTTAATTTGGTAAACCAAATCATCTCTAGCAGAAATACAAGTTCAATGGTACATTTATAACATATATATCTGTGTGTGCACAATGATAAATTAGTATGCGTTTTAATTTTATTTAATAAAATATATTATCTATCTTCCCTTTCCGCCTCTGCTGCTGCTCTCAGGAAACTGATATAATGAAAGAAATAATGGACAAAGGACCGGTACAAGGTATGGTAAGTTTGGAAGATAATACCATTATTGAAATAATTAAAGTGTCCAATGTCCTTGTATCAAAATATGAGAAAACATGAATTGCATTCCACAGTGAATGAAACAGACATGTTCAGCCAGGGACATTTGATGGGCAAATAGTGACCCTAAAGGCAGCTATGCTGCATCAGAATCCATAATAATTACAATGACCTTGAGCTGGATTTGTTGAAAATTTGTGCAAAATCTGTGTGCTGGAAACATGCCTTTCTCCCATGACAGTTCTTTACTCATTGATGAAATAGTTATTTGGGACTATGCAGGAGGAATTAAATGTTAGCAGAACTCTGCTTTATAAGGCTGGGAATGATTCCCCCACTGTCTGAGGCCAACTCACCAACCCTGCTCTCCTCTGAAGGCAACGCTACAATTTATGGGCCATCCAGCAAGTCAGTCCATGCTGGAATATTCCCAGAATTTTCCATTTCATAGCCTAAGTGTTCTTGTTGGTTGTGGGGGGCTTTCAGTTTTGAATTTATCTG